AATGATTTCCTCTTTGTGAAAAGAGAAAATCATTTTCCTCAAAATAATGAAGGATTTGGGGGTGGGGAAGGAAAATGTTTTCCCACGGAAAACATTTTCCGCCCCCGAACACCGGAAAACGAGGAAAATATTTTTCGGAAAAATATTTTTTCGCAAACGAACACAGCCTAGTGTGCGGACAGATTTAATTTGATGTGATTCCATGGGAACTTGAACATTATTTATACAGTACATTTACAACCCAAATATCTCTCCTTTCATTCATAGGCTACTGCTGCACGTCTTGTCTTCAGTGCCTCCAGCTTCGTCATCAATTCCTCCAGATTCGCTTTCATTTGGTCCTCTTCTTTCTGTACGCCTTCAATTTCTTCATCCAGGTCTTCAAGCTCAGGATTTTCTCCCACTACATCCAATTTCACCAGAAAAATGGCTCAAGTTCCTTCAGATATTGTATGCGAAAAGATCATAAAATGGTTGATGACGACTGCTATGAGAGAGTAAAGTTTATGTGCATATGCTTTTTGACTTCTACGCAGCAGATGATACATACTTCATGTGCTTTGTAAGTTTCATAAACTAAAACTTTGACAAACCTCGGTTCTAATTTCTTACAAACTTATTTTCAACTTAAGCTAATTATTAGGAGATGTCTGTTTTTGTATTCCATTATTTGATGCATTAACTTCTTGCTTTCGACCTTTTCTGATCATATTCATTTCCTCCAACCCATACCCAGAGGATTAGCTTACCGGAGACACTGCACATACTACATGAGCAATCAACTGGCATTGTTCGCAATAGTAAGCTCAAAGCTCCGGATCCCTTCTTCGCTCGCAAATGTTGCAGTAATACTCACCAGAATCATCTTCAACTGTTGATTCGGGGAGGGTCAACTCATCAATGTGATGGTTGCTTTTGATGGTCTGCGGTAGCTGAAGGGAGTCCAAGTGAATATGCACTTTGCACAACTCACAACTGTAGAGGTCAACCGCGCACCTCTTACCGCAGGCTCTGCATTGTGAGTTGGAGTTGCTGTTTCTCTAAGAATAAGTAAGACCATGGGCATGGAGGGGGTGGTGCTGTATCTGAGAAGGTATTCCGGTGGCGCACGACCGGTGAAGGTAAACGTTGCATCGTTCACAACAGAAGATGGAAGTGGAGCCATGGATACTCGAACTGCACACATTGCATTCGAGGGGATTGCACTGTTCGCTCAACTTTCGCTGGTACAAGGCATGACGATGAAGGAGACGTTCAAGAATATACATTTGATAGATAGCTAGAGAGAGAGAGAGAGAGAGAGAGAGAGAGAGAGAGAGAGAGAGAGAGAGAGAGAGAGAGAGAGAGAGAGAGAGAGAGAGAGAGATGGTCCAAGAGCAAGGTTGCAACGTTAACCTAAACAATCGAGCATCTCAATACCTATAAATAATAAGAAAGTTGGGTGGGATGGAACTTTGTCTTTGTGTCACATGGTCGCAAAGTTGCATCTACTCCCACTTTCCTTGATAATAATTAGATTGGACCTGAGTAGGTCCTTAAAATGTTGAAGGAGAGACAGATGAAGGAACTCTTCGGTATAGCGAAGGGATCTCCTTGTGAGTTTTCTTTGTATTCCTTCTCTCCCGAAAAGAAATACAACGGGAGAGAACATAGGGACCTGTAGGTGGCAAAGGTAGAAGCCACGTTAGCTTCGGTTGCCTATTGTCGGGTTAGTAGATATAATAGCCTCCCGCGCCAGAGGTAATGGAAGGGAGCTTCGACTTAGGCTTGGTTGCTTGTGCTAACGCACAGTGTCTAATAAATACACTAGATCCGAACAAGGCTCCACCTCTTTGGCCTTGCTTGAAGCAAGCAAGGCCAACCCTTGCTGGCCTCTAGTGAGTCTTGCCAGATCCCGTCGAGGGTGAGCCTCGCCAGTCATCACTTGTGGTTGATCGCCGCCATCGCCTAGGCTCAGCCGACCAGTGGAGGAAGAAGAAAAAAGAAAGAAAGAAAAGAAAAGAAAATTAATTTTTTTAAAAAATTACAAAAATTGTCTACGTCAGCGATCTTCTTTGGCCAGATGGACAATATTGGCATATTGTTAAAATGTTTAGGACTCAATTGGTCAAATTGAAAGATTTAGAACTGAATCGACAAGAGCGCAATATATTTAAGACTTTTTTCGTAATTTTCCTAACAAAAATATTTAGGTCTCCTACTGTACTTATTTCATGAATTGGCGTCATATTGTAACTTGGGCTTGTTAAGACGTATTATATGCAAAGCTTATCCTGTTATTGCGGAGTTAAATGGAGATATACTTTTTGAAGAAAAAAATTGGACATACACGTGGAATATTAACCTATATGATTGAAAACTTGTGAAACGTTGGATCTCCAGGGTTTGGTGGTGACTAATTAGGACTAGGAATCAACAAGCTACATGGATCAGAAGGCTTTTGAGCCAGTGAGAGCAACACTTGATAACCGTTTCACTTATTGTAGGATTAGGAATCGCGTGCTTTATAATCCAAAGAACTTCTCAAATTCTAACCTAGTTCATTTCACAAACGACATGTCACATGAGAACAACAATTCCAGATTCACCTTCCCAAGTAACCCCAACTTCTTTTTAATGGAGCAAGAAGAGCGTAGTTCGAGGCTCATCGGTCCGGACCCTTCCCGTAGAACCACCATTCGCGCTGTCGCCAGCTGAGTTCATTGGATCGGCTGTGTTACTCACTCGTCACTGGACTCGGGGACGATGATGGCGGGATTGTTGACAAGGAACTCTGGTTTTGAGGTTTTCAATTGCGCGAGCGCTTTCACGGAAATCAAGCAGCTCCCATGTCGGAACGACGGCTTCGATCTTTTCCTTGATGAAGACGCTGGAGGAGTATCTCGGCTCAACTGAAATCGGCAGATGGAGCAGCTCGAAGGAAAAGAGGATAGACGTAAACAGAACGTACTTGCTTAATTTGCAAGATGTTTAGGAATTAGGACCTTTTCCTTAAAATAAGTATAGAACAAACGTATCAAATACGTATGAGGCTTAGTTTTTCATCTCGTACATCAAATTAAGTATCATATTATACATATCCGTATATTTTTGGGCTCCGGTTATATCCATGGTCATTCATATATCTCCAGATAGCTACGATCTTTGAAATCTAAATCCATAACATATTCAAGAATTCTAATTCATCGACATAGGTTTATTCTAGAACACGCTGTAGAATAAACAATGAAAGGAACTTAATAGGAAGTTCACATGAAGTTGAGCCACGTGAGTATTATATGCTTATTTAATAGATTAATGGATAGATAAATATCTGTAAGTTTTTTTTGTTGATTTACAGAATTAAGATAAATAGCTGGCCAAAAACATGGGATGCAAATAAATAAGTACCTTAGACCGTTCTGGGACAAAAATTAATCAATTAAAATTCTTTTATGAGTGACTTTCAATAGCAGAATTAGGATCGAACAGGCCTCAACCACAATGGACCCATCTGTAGGTCTATTTTGCAGGCAACAGCAATCATTTTTATCTTTAGTTCACTAATAATATCAATGCATGGTATTGTCTTAAGGCCTATCAAGAAGCTTTCAAACAAAATTTAGCATTGACTATTATTGCTTGTATAAGTTAATTGAGTTCTCGAGGTGGGAACACCTTATTATCTGACGTTAGACAGTAGATTTATTTTTTTAATTAAGAATTTATTTAGCGACATATGTGATAAACATGTCAACAAAAAAATCTAAATATGTGATATGATAAGCCAAGTTATTTAAATCAATTAGGACTTACAATATTTAAAGAACGACTTTACTGGGAGTCATAATTAGATTAGAAGATATAAGGATCTAGGAATCACGCGGTGTGGATATACAATCCTCCTGACCAAACAGAGGGAATTCTTCATATACTCCATAACTAAGTTCTTTCAGTTAATTATGTCTCAGGACAACTTGCATTTTAGAGGGATCTTCCCGACGAGATCGGATTCCTCCGTGATGGCACAACGTCGACCAAATCGTTCCGCGCGGTTGCTGGCCCATCTCACGGATGGACCGAGAGACGATGGCGGTGAAGAGAGTACTTGCAATCTTTCCAGCGGAAAGACCGCTCTCTAGATAATCAAGGAGGTTCACGATCAGGATGACAGCCCTAATTTTTCCTATTTCACGACAACGCCGGAGGAGTGTTTCGGCTTGACCATGAAACCAAAATTGATCAAGGGAGCGGCGCCGTCGGAAGGAAAGGAGCATAGAGTCAAGGAGAAGGGAGGAAAGTCGGTCTCTCGTCTAATCGATTTGCAAAGTGTTCATATATAACTAAAAATTTGATGACTATTGATTTTTTTTTGTTTATGTTTTGTTTGCAATTCTGGTGTATTTAGATTTTACTCGTTATCGGGGAAATTTTCGTGTTTCCATTATTTTATTATCGATGCATGTAGAGCTGCATGAAATATGCGTACGAGGTGAATTGGCCATGAAATATGTTTCCGTAGACCATGTTTTTATATAATCCACTCCATCGGAGCGACTTACTTATAGTAACTTCTCCAATTGATTCGCTAAATCGAACTGTCACTTTACCTTGAACTCGAAAAATACGCCGAAAATCCATTTCGATATCAATATGTGCGATAAAAGAATGAAAGGGACTCCGCCTATCTATCGATTTTCTGCTGGCTAGTAGTAGTCTCCTATAAATCAATTTGATGAACCGATTATGGAGCTACTTTGTCAGCGGATGCATAGTTAAACCTATACTATGTCGAAAATACGATGGTGCAAATAAATGTCACTAAACTCGGGCGCTGTAATAATTATTTTTCAACAGCTCTAAGTTCATCAAAAGCAAAACTGTTTTCAACTGTAAAAGAACCAAAAAAAAAAACTGTTTTTTCAACCGCTTTTCAAAGAACTTGGCGCCCATATATAAAGAGATCGGCACTTGCCAGTTGAATCTCCACAAGCCATTCTATATTCTATAATACTCCCAAGAGTATCAGAGAGAAAACCCTTCACACAAGAGCTTAAGTTTTCCGTAGAAGCCACACGAGTTTCTCTTCCTTAGAGAACCGAGAGGATTCTCCTCTCTCTGATCCGATGGAAAGAGCCCCGGATTCGCAAGGGGCGAGCGGCAATGGTGACGGGTCTGGAGAAACGTCGACGCCGTCGCAATCGCGCCCGCGGCTTGATTTTTCAGTACCGGGGTTTTCCTTGTTTACCGAAGCTTCAGAGGACATTCTCGGCTTGCGAAGAAGAGATGCTGCTGATCGAGCTGGAGACGATGGAACTGCGAAGGAAGAGAATGTTCCCGATGATGATCAGACGGCGACGGTCCAAGATCAAGAATCAACTGAGGGATCGCGTCAAAGGGTAGGCGGCGGTGATGTTGTTGATGTTCCAAGGGAAAGGGTTGGCGCCGAACAAGAGCGGGAGAATGTCGTTCCCGATGATCAAGCAGCGAGGGTTGAAGGTCAAGAATCGGCAGAGGGATCGCGTCAAACGGAAAGCGAGAATGTCGTCGCAGGCGAAATGAGCGGAATCAGCAATGCTTTGGAAGATGAGCAACATGAAGAGGACACTCCTGGTCATGATGGTGATGGAAGGTCGACCATGATTTATGATCAAACTGATACGAGTATGAGGGAGTGGCCATTAGTCGGGTCCAAACGTGGAATTGAAGATCGAAGCGCGGCAATTCAAGGCCAAGAATCGATGCAGAGATCGCAAGCGAGGAGGGGCGATGGTGATGCCGTCGCAAGCAAGAGTGCCGTCGCCGGCGGATCAACGGAGACGAAATGGGGACAACTGTTTGCGCGTTTAGTAGAGGATGGTGAGAAGATGAAGAGAGCCAAGGAGCAAAAGAGGGAACAAAGGAGACGGAAGCGAGATGGAGAGGGACCGCAAGCTCCTTAGCAATGTGATGCAGTAATTTTCTTGAAATCTCTCTCGCAAAAGGATGATGATTTTAGGTTTCTTTCCTCGTGCATTTCCTTCGTCGTTTAGGGTTTTGTTAGGCACTTCCTTAGTTGGTTTCTCTTTGTGTGAAATCGATTTTCATGGATGAATTTTCTTGTGGAAATAAAGATTTGGCCATGGATGAATTTTTCTTGTGGAAATTATCTTCTTCTTCTTCTTCTTCTTCTTCTGATGATGATGATGATGATGAAACTGTATCGTGACTAAAGGTTCTCTTTATTGGCAATATACTTCCCACCATTAAATTTTTGTAATGGCAAAACCAATGAAATATTGTAAATTACAACTTTATTTTCTCGAAAAAAAGAAAGAAAGGATACGTTTCATTATCTATTTTCTCTCGAAATGAATTGTCGGTGTAATAAAATCAAAGGCTATTTTAGTCTGCTAATTAAATTCCTCTAAAATAGTGGCGACCGATGACCGTAGTCTTAAAAAATGAGAAGACTCTAGTGAAAAATATATGGGTTTAATTTGATAAGCATTGGAACAATACAATGTACTCCTTATTTATTTATTAAGTGACAATCAGTTGTTTGACCTTATTCTAAAGAATGAAAAAAAATTGAACTTAAGAAGGACAACTCCATCGTTTCGACGTGCATTTTGTCTTCACTTTTTGACTATATATATACAAATAGAGGTGCCGAGTGTTTTATTCGTGCCGTGATTTTTTTCCTTACCCTCGTTTTTTTTTGAAATGAAGTCGGGATTCATCGACACGAGAGGGGGAAGCCGTTGGATGCTTGAAAAGCCATTGATAAAGTATTTATATGCTAATAGAGTGATTTGAGTAAGACTAAAGTGAGATTATGTTTTCACTTTTTGGAAACCTCTATTAATAAAGAAAAACTAAAGCAATGTTGGTTTTGACCTATTGAAACTTTGTCCTCTGCGTTTTCTAGCTTGATTAGCGAATTCTATCTTAAGTTATATAGGAAAAAGCTATATCAGTTAGGTATTAATCTGAAATATATTTCCGACCTTTTTTTTGGTCGATAATATTTTTCCGACTTCGCATAGTTAACTATTTAACACATTAGAGCAGAAGACAAAAACATCCCGTGCCACATGGTAAATCCTTTTTTAGCATTATAGAAAACCTATCAATAAAGTGACTATAAAAAGTATCGAGTCTTTCTCTACTTATAGATGAAAAAAACTTGAAGGATACTTCTATCATGCTGGAAGAGAAGATGAATTTATCCAAGTACTACAGGTATGAAACGATGAAGAAAAGAGAAAATATCTCGAGCCCTATCTGCAAGTGAATAAAAATGATATTCTCGAACTATATATAAAAATTACAAACAGAGGAAGAATTTGATAAGATTATTTATGGAGCTGCAAGTGATCTAAGCAATTATGTTTAGGAAAATATTTTTCAAATCGTTCATTTTCTTTGAAATAAATGGGCCTTATAGAATTAGAATGATTGAGAGACTTGTACATTGAAGCCCTATTCACTCGGCCCCCGGGAAAACGGCTTCTTTTTTCCCTTTCTTTTTTACACCTTGCTCCGATAACAAGGCCACTAGGGTTCTAATATCTATTGGAGCAAGGTGAGAAGAAAGGAAAGAAAGAAGAAGAAAAGGGAGGAAGACAAGAGGTCATCAACGGAAGCCAAAGTGAGTTTTTTTTTTTTTTTGCGGTTTGCTTTGGTCGACTTTTGATTCAGGATTTTTCGTCTACACTGTCAAAATTGTCAACTTGGCCATTGAGGAATCTCTCATGAAGAAACGAGGTTGTGCTCGACATTTGAGTTCAACACAACTGGGTCAAAGAAAAAAAAAGAATAAGAGAACGTTAGATGTAACTTGTATACTCTGACCAAAAAAAAAAAGTGACTTGTATACTTTCTTTCTTCAATGGACACTCAGTTTTTCTCTTCATTGATACCAAAAAATATTTGATTAGTTTTCTTGATATAAATGAAATAACTAAACTGCTTTTCAAGAAACTTGGCCCTCTATAATCGATCAGCACTTACAAATTAAAAACTCCACGGGCCAATATGAATTTATATTGGTTATCTTTAAGAGAAATCTCCACATTGAACTTCAATTGTCATTACTAATTAACATCTTGTGAATTCGCAACCCGTTCGTTTCCTAGATCTAATGGAACGAGCCAGCCACCAAGTAGTCATAAAAGCTACGTATTAAGGAGGAGAGAAATTCAAAGTAAATTCAACATGACTAGATGATTATAAAGAGAGAGAGAGTGAACATTATATGCAACTTATATGCTAGATATTCATTTTTATTAATTGATAATGTGACGGCCCAAGCCAAGCGGCGGAGCGCAGGGAGGAGGGATGGCGGTGCGTCCGCACCATTACCCTGGACGTGCGCAGGGAAGTGGGGTACCTCTCTTATCCCACATCGCCTAGGGGAGAAGTTCCGGGCTAACTTATAAGACTTGGGGTTCTATATCTATGTAACGCGTTTTAAAGCCGTGAGGGTCAGTGGGCCCAAAGCGGACAATATTACATAGTGTAGACTCGGGGTATTATAGGTAGTATCAGAGCAGACTTCCGATCCCGTGTAGGCCCATAGCACAGGCGCTATGCCCGTAAGGGGTGGAGAGTGTGACGGTCCAAGCCAAGTGGTGGAGTGCGGGGAGGAGGACGCACCCACTACCCCGGACGTGCGCAGGGAAGTGGGGTACATCTCTTGTCCCACATCGCCTAGGGAGAAAGTTCCGGGCTAGCTTATTAAGTTTGAGATTCTATAATTGTGTAACACATTTTAAATCCGTGACGGTCAGTGGGCCCAAAGCGGATAATATTATACAGTATAGACCCGGAGTGTTACAAAAAAAATTTCGATACTTGTTAGAAAAGCAAGTAGGTTAAGATGGAGAGACTTGAGTATGAAAGGAAGACCAATCCGTGTTATAGCGGTACATGCATTCACCAATTAGCCAGTCACGTTTACCTTAAGTGGTAATGGTCTGATTATGAATGCTTGATATAGTCAAGCACACCTTTTGAGTATAAAGTACAGTAAAATCGTTTATTGTGGCTTCTACATAACCTTAACCAATGCGAGTTTAGTGCAAGTATACTCCATGGTCTTTCGACCAATATGCATGTATGATTGATCTGTGTAGAAATTGCTTGTGAGTGATAGATACTATATCTATGCCGGATGTATGAGCATGGTGATTGTGTCAAGTCAATCAAGTTCATGCCCTAAACTATCCGATCCTGCAATCAAATCATGGCCATTCATCTGGACTAGGGCTTGGGCATGTCCTAGGCTGCTCAATTGAGATTGTACGATTTTCATTTGGAGTGAACAAGGAGCGTCATCTTCCTTGCTCGGAAGCGCGGTTACCGACCTTCAAGTATTCCACATTCGGACAAGCTTATTGCACTTCATCCAGTGTCGTGCAAGTCGCTCTTCAAACGGAATCAAAATGGTGCCATCAATAAAGCCGTCCTTGTCCTTTGTGATTAAAGCCCATCGAAATTCCTATGACCAAACGGAGGAGTAATTCTCCAATCCCGAGAGTTGTTGCATAATGAGGAGGTCGCCTGGTTCCAACCAACGGACCGCTGGTGACGCTTCCAAAAGGAAAAAAACTGGTGTTGAAAACTAGGCCGGGTTCGCCCAAAGACCCGACGGACTCGAACTGGTTTGGTTTGGAAAATGCTAACCCGATCCGGAGACCGGATTGGGTTCAGTAGTGAGAGGTGGGCCTTCTCCTAGTCCACTATTCTCAATATAGGCTCTTTCCATAGAGCCCATTGGAATTGGGCTTGATTAATTCATCTTGCCCTGAGTGGGGAAAAGTACCAAAGAAGTCTTAAACCTATTGCATTGATACCAATTCAGTTCTAAATCTTTCAATTGGATCAATTTAGTCCTGCACTTTTTCGCATTGGTACCAATTCAGTCCATCCGGCCAATTTAAGCCGGAAATCGCTGACGTGGATGCCGGCGGTCCTACGTGGCACCGTCGGCATTGACATGGACAAAATTTATAATTTTTCAATAATTTTTCAGATTTTTTTAAATATTTGTTTCTTTCTTTTTTTCTTTTTTAAGAAACCAGTAGCCGGCGATTGCCGGTCACTGGCAAGAGCTGGCGACCCTTGCTTGGCCTGGGTGAGGGCCCCCGCGCCCTCGCCGATCACGGGCCCTCACTGGCCACGGGCGAGGGCGTCGGCCCTCGCCCAGATCTAGGTGAGAGGCGGCAATGCCCTCGCCCGCCACGAGCGAGGGCGTTGCCTCCCCTCACCTAGATCTGGGCGAGGGTCGCCGGCCCTTGCCAGTGGCAAGCGATGGTTGGCCGGCGACCACCATTTTCTGAAAAAAAAAAAAAAGAAAGAAAAGAAAGAGAAAAAAAGAAAAAAATTATTAAAAAATTATAAATTTTGTTCACGTCAGTGCCGGCGGTGCCACGTAAGACTGCCGACGTCCACGTCAGCGATTTCTGGCCTAACTTGGCCGGATGGACTTAATTGGTACCAATGCGAAAAAGTTTAGGAGTAAATTGGTCTAATTGAAAGGTTTATGACTGAATTGAAATCAATGCAATCGGTTTAGGACTTTTTTTGTACTTCCACACCCCCCCTCCCCCCCCCTCGGGAATGGGATGGAGAGACAAGGACCCATTGGACATAGGGGCCTAGGAAAAATTGCACTAGCGGCTGAACCGGGTCTGATTGCCTTTCATCGGGTTTTTTTTGCCCTTGAAGCTAGATTGAGAAAAGGATGTCTGATACCATGTCAAAGTACGAGGTGATGGAAAGGTCGCTTGAGAATGGGAATTATAATTGTATCTTGCTTTCTCATAGTGAAACTGTATGAATATAATCCCATTTATAATATATTGAGTCTATCTAATCCAAGTAAGAAATATTTAGAAAAAGAAAAAGAATGATTCTTTAATTTATAATATTCTAATTTCTCATTAATGAATCAATCGGTGAAAACCGTATCGATTGTACAATATCAATTACGTATCTCCATCAAAATTTAAAACACGAGTCTCATCTAAATAAGATCTAAACAAGAAAAACACACATGACCCACACAGCTACGGGGCA